GTTTCATTTGTTTAGTTATTTACCTAATGTCCCAAAATCAATGCAGTAATGATGAATTCCTGTCAAAATGCTAAACGTAGCACCTTTTATAACTGTCGGAGAACAAAGAGGCGACAGGAAATAAGAGGAAATCCGGAGATTAATTCGGCCGAGCGGGACAGGTAGTAAATGAGGGGACGAGCAGCCGGCAACTGGGTGGAGAAATGGAAAGTGGACGAGAGGGAAAAAAGCGGGAAAACAGATGTTAAAATGAGAGTGACAGAGAGGAGGGCTATTGTAGGTCTGCCAACACACTCACACATACAGTGTGTTTACTCAGCCTCTTTCACTTACATGGAATTATTGAAGGAGCTGCCAAGGAAATTGCAACAATTCATTCCTACTACTCAGGGACACACAAGGCTTTTCAACGAGGACACACACACACACACACATTCACACACGCAAACACACACACCTTGGAAGCTTTATCTGAGTTCAGCCTCAGAACGCACTCCCACTGCCTCTGCTAGATTTGAACCAAGGCCACGGATAAACAGGAACGAGACCTTTCTGTGTCATTGTACCCCCCCCAAAAAAACAAAAAAAAATGGAGATACACACTTTTCTAAAACTGTGGCAGCCTCAGTTTTGGTTCCATTTGATGCGATTTGTTGGTCCCGTCTCCTCTCCTCCCACACACATCTGCTCTCCACAGTCAAAACACAAACAAAGCAAATGTTACCGAGTCATATGGAGGCACAGCAAATGGAGAACGTAATGATATTCAGCCAGCGGGCAGCCGTCCTTATGCACCTCATCCAGTCTGACCTGTGTGGGAATGAGTGTGTATCGCTTTGCAGCACAGGTCAAACATAAAACAGAATAAGGAATGCAACCCCCCCCCCCCCCCCCGCCCCGCCCTTAGATCTGCAGGCACACACACCATACATATTCAAAAACACCGTGGGGGAAACTCGACATGGACCACAGCATGACTCAGCACACACTCTGCTGACACTGTAAAACTATGATAATTAGAGTATGTACTTTTCTAGTTGTATTGCTTGGGAGGTTGTCATTTGAGGGACGGGCTCTTGGGACCTTTTCCGTGAAGAGACCGGTGACAAATTAAAGGATGATTGTGGAAACAGATGACAAAGCACCCGGGGGGGGGGGGGTTGGTCTGGTTTGATGTCTGATATGAAAATGATGTGAATCATACGCTGCTGCCTTCACAGTCACTGGATCTCGACTGAACACCTGTGGGAGATTATGGGCCGACACGTTATACGGCACTCAACTATCACCAACTGATAAGGGAACTGCTCAGCTCAGTCCTACAGAGAGTGATGCTCCCTCAGATCTGCAGACTTATACACCAGACGTTATAAAAACTAAAGCAAATACCATATGGAGGATCCACACTACCCCAACAACACAGTTTTTGCAGCTCCGATTGTTCGGGCACCTCTAACGCCACAAGTCAGTCCAACGCAGAGAACTCAGGACGGGGGCCTCACACATTTCATGCTGCAATTGTGAAATATGTGAATTTGATTTCTATTTTAATGCCTCTGCAGCTGCGAGTCAGCCAGTGGCCGGAGGCGTTATATTTTTGAGTTGTGAGTCTGCAGTCAGTTGTCAAGGTCACAGTGACCTCACACAACTCAACATCCCTGGTGCTTCAGAACGACTTTGCAGTAGTATACTTTCAAATTTGGCCCAATGTTCACTGAGACTCAATTAGACAATTGGACTTAAATTTCTTGATTATATTTTCGTGGTCAAAGATCTCGATGTTCTCACAAAACATGTTTCTGATCTCTTATCTAATAGTCTCATCCTTTAGGGAGTTTTGAATGGTTGTCACTGGGAATCAAAGATTTACTGATTAGATCTCAGTGGTCAAAGGTCAAAGTGATCTCACATGAATTAATGATTTCACGATGGGTCTAATGATCATTTCACCATGGCTCTCTAAGCCCGACTTTCAGATTTATCATTATTATTACCATGTGCGACCACTCAACTTAAATCCAGACAAAACGTCACAGGTTTGAGATCATCTCAAGAACATCTAGGGATTTTTTTTTCTCTCTTATTTTAACCTTACGAAGGGCAGATAAACAGAGCAGATTTACTTTCTTTAAGCTCCACCTTAATTCAATCCCCTTATTCAAACAAGTGCACACGAGATCCTGGAGAGATGTTTGAGTTTAAACAGCTTATTAAGTTTCCTGCTTAGACACAACACAGCGAGACACGTGTGGCTGCTAAAGTAAAGAAACACGGAGGGTGTGAAGTGTACAAAGAGGTTTAGACCGTAAAAGAAATAAATGCTGAAAGTCTTCTAGATATATTTTGATGGAGAGTTTTATTACCCTGCTTTGATACATTTTGTAAACCTAACCTGTTGACCATATACCACTCACCAGACCTCATATCTTAAAGAAATTAAGTTCTTAAAAAAATGTTGAAAGTAAACCTTCTACTGAAAAACAAATATACACTAGTGTTTGTGTCTGGTAAGCACATTTTCTCAGTTTCTTCTCGTCAGCAGCTCAGTTTGAAAAGTTATGTCTAACAATAGAAATAGGGAAGTTGTGTCCATATGCATAAGTTAAATTAAATATGAAGGTTAATGGTCAATGCACTGAAAACATTTCAGAAGTAAAATATCTCAGTATCTTATATATGTTCAATTCCCATCTTGCAAAACAGTCCCAGATGTATCCGTGGAGTTTTATTAGTCTTTCAGTTCCAGGTCAAACACTGACTGCCTGTATACTTCTGCAAGATGCACAAGACGCCCACGCGTGTTACATTCTATTTAAACGCACAATATATAGAGCTGCGCTCTGAGCAAAACACACACTTATATTCGAGAAGAAAGTTAATCTGCATTTTGACTGACATGAAGGAAAATGATTTGCACAAGCCTTCACTGCGCTCTTTCCTCTGGGATTGTTGTTAAAGGGCACAAACACAGAAAGGCACACAAACATACATGTGGCTCCGGGTGCCTGTGAAGAGCCGTGCTCCAAGTACACACAGAGGGCTGGCAATCACAACACTGGAGAATGCTTATCCACCAGAATATGACTGCAGCGTTTCATCTGCTGTTTTGCAAACTTCACTAATCTGAATGTGCACGCGTGCTCTCTGCACATCAGAATGCAAACACGACAAAGAGGAGAGCCAGAGGTCTGTTTGGCTCCAGAAAAACCTTAACTAGTAATCGAATCTCTGTGTGTCAGTGTGACCAAATTCTACCTGACACCACACCCTCCCCTCCCCCCACCTTCCACCCCTCCGTCTGCTCCGACCGATGACTCTGGCAGTCTGTGTGTCATGTAAAATTAAGTCGGTCTGTGGAGGCAGGAAGAGAGAGTGAGAGTGAGAGAGAGAGTGTTAGAGAGAGAGAGAGGGGGATAAAATGGGAAGCGTGGTCGAAATTTTAAGTGCTGAAGTGTGTGTGTGTGTGTGTGTGTGTGTGTAGCAAGCCTGGTGGTTAGGGCTGAGACACACTGTAGAAGTGACAAGGTAGTGACAAGTTTCCTCTGATCAGGGATGCAGACATGACAGAGCAGAGTTTCAGACTTAGAGGCAAACACACACACACACACACACACATA